GTCGGACGCCTAACCGACTGCGCCACCCAGGCGCCCCAAATGTTGTTTTTTAATGTTTATTTTGAGAGAGAGAGAGCGTGACAGGCGGAGGGGCAGAGAGAGGAGTCACAGAATCCAAAGCAGGCTCCAGGCTCTGAGATGTGAGCACAGAGCCCGACGTGGGGCTCGGACCCACGAACTTCAGTTGCTTTACAGGCACGAGTGACCAGGGGCCACCACATGCGTGGTATTTTCGTCATCGCAGACACCGTAGCTGGGCAGTGGCAGGCAGATGGCCTGCTCACGGCCGCGTGCTCTGCCCACAGCAACGGCCAGGCCTCCTCCCCACGTTCACTGCAAAGTTCTGTCGCAAGGAGATAAGCCAGTGAATGGATCCACAATCGTAACCTTTGGCAACACACCTGCCTGCTTATCTTCTGTATTAATCTGGAGCCAAATTACCTTCTAGCCTAACGTACATTTACATGCTTTGTTTGTTGTTTATGTAGCTCTGTGAGCTTTTAAGTCCCGAGAGCAGCGGATTGTATAACTGGAACGGCACCACTTGAAAGAAAGCATATGAATTCATTTATTGACTTCATTCTTGTGTATAATGTACGATTCTTCCCCTGGAAAAAAAAAAAAAAGCCCCGATGCCTGTTGGGTAATTCTTAAAACCTCTGGTAAGTGGTTCCCGGAACTGATGGTGCCCGCTTGATATCCGCTTGTTCTCTCTGATTGAAAGCTCCTCTTTTCTCGATCCAAAGTGCTCCAAGTGAATTCCCACTAGAACCACCCAATCCCGTCAAAGCGTTTAACCCTCTGGAAACCTCCGTTAAACACTTGGCGTGAACAGCGGGGACGTGGTATTAATCGGTGGCAGGGCAGTGCCTTTCCACACCTTCGGGCACGCGGGTTGGTGAATCAACCTGATGCCGGCCACACCTCCTCTTCCCACGCTCGGCGGGGGGCTTGTCATCAGTCTGTCCTTTATCTGAGAGATTTGCCCCGAGTGAGGCCACGTGTGGACAGTGGACACACTGTGCCAGGGAACCCACGTTCTGTCTTGGACAGCAAGTCAGGGTTCCGCAGCGATCAGACACACGGGCGTGTGAGGATATGCACCTGTGCACGCTGGAAGGGAAAGGTGCCCACCTGGGTGTGTGCTGGGGGAACGCGCGAGGCACACAGGGGAGCTCGTCTGACTGCTCAGTGCTCCCAGCGTGGGGAAAGCGCTTTGCTTTTGCCTGGGTCTGTCGGCTATGTCAGCCACCTGTGGGATTCACACTCGGGACCCTCATTCCCTCTCCCAGGAGCAAAGATGCCCACGGCCGAGCGCCGCCCTTTCTTGTGGGGGTTCCGCTCAGCGCCGGCCCCGCGGCTACGTTTCTCTCAAGACCTCCTGACAGCCCCGTGGCTGTGACTTTCCTGTGCTTTCCGCTTGGTTCTCGCATTTCGCCAGGTTTCCCCCCCAGGCTTTCCTCCCGACAGTGAGTTCTGCAGGCCCGCTCGCCTCCTCGGCTCTGCGTCTGCGTTTGTGGTTCACTTCCACAGCTTCATTTCCTTCCTGCCCGTTGTCGCGATCTGAGAGCCGCGGGCTGTGCGGCCCGTGGCTCCAGACCGTCCTCTCTGTGGCTTCTGACCTTACAGATCTCAGCGTCGACCGATACCACGTGCAGTGGCTGCCGGAGGTCTGTGCCCACAACCGCAGTGCCGGAGCAGAGACCTCTTCTGGCATCACCCAGGTAAGAGACGGTCACACCGCCCGATTCTCAGCGCGATTTCACTTCCCTCGATGTGTGGAAACAGCGGACTGAGCGCTGTGCCTGGGGTACGACGCACACAGCTCGTTCTCACGGATTAGCTGTTGGGTGATCGCGAGGTGGAAGTGAAAACACAACGGTCCTTGCGTTCAGTCCTGCAGTATCTGCTGAGGGCTCCGTCCCGTGGGGGCACACGGCAGGGCCTGAAACGCGGAGGCTGCAGACGCGGTTCGTGGGGAACTCCCAGGTCAGGGGGGGGGAAACGCTTCGGAGACCCCACGTGTCTCGACTTAGTTGGACAGAAGCTTTGAATTGTTCGGAGTCCTGAGTTGGCAGCACGATCTGCGGGTGGGACGGTGCCTGTGAACTTCCGTCCGACCCTGTCACGTCCCATCTTGCTCTGCCGCGTCGCTGGCTAGTTCCTCCTCGTCCGGGGAAGGAAAGACGTTCCCTGAGTCGCACACGGTGTGCCAGGACCGTTTCTGACTTTTCACCTGAACAGAACGCTACGTCCTTGCAGGCAGGAACCCTTCGGTACCAGCCAGTGTGTTATTCCAAATATTTGGGGCTGATGCACGAGCTACAGAGGGCCATCAAGGGACCAACAGCAAAACGTGCAGAGGGCGGTGAGGTGTCCAGAATATCGATGCCAGCAACTTGTCTGTGATCTAGCAGGACAGTCTAAGATTTCCAAAGGCATGGCCCCACATGTCTCACATGTTGATATACACTATTTCAGCAGAACATTTTTCTTTGGACTATTTTCTAAAGCAGCAAGTGGGGGATTTTTAGAATCCTATCTTGATCACATAACTTTAAGGTAGTAAGATAAAACATGTCAGTGGGTCTGCAGAAATACAGCTTTTTACTGGATTTGACTTGTCCCAACTCATGCTCGCCAACGTTGTTCCTTTTATGTTTTCTTAAGTGGTTCCCAAAGTTTGTGGCGTTCGCTTAAACAGAAAAAAGAAACATTTTTAAAAAGGGAAAACTACTTGAAAAGCAGAGAAAGAAATGACCGGAAGCAGGGCTTATTAAGTTTTTTGTGGGCAGAGGCGAGGCTTCTAGTAGTTTTTTTACTTATGCATGCGTTGGAATTGTATGAAATCTGGCTTATTTTCAGGGGACCACCCAATCCTAGGCTTACCCTCTCTAGAAAGTCTGAAGGTCATGATATGCATTTGCTGAACATGTATCCTGTATCTGGTAGAAATAAGAATGAAAATCCCGAGAAAGCAGTTCTGCTAAAGGCTCACACCTCGTCCACTGCCATTTGTAAAGGACGTTTAGACCCATTTATTTTCAAGCTCTGATGCAGCACGGGCTACTTTATCTGTAGCTACTTTACGTAGCTGCGAAGTCTGTCCTTAGTGGCTGACGTGGGCTTCCAGCAGATTCCCATCCGGAGTGTAGATTTGCTCCCGAAGAGCAGTGTTTCAGGCAGAGGCTGCCATTGGTTCTGCTCTCCCCATGGCATGCCCGGTGCCCTGGCTCTGCCCGCCCACCCGTCACCCCTGGGCAGAGCGCCAGCTGCTTCCTCTCCGCACCTGTCCCCCCACTCTGCCCACCACTACGGCCTCCATCCTGACCCGTGACCGAGGCCGCGGGCTGAGCCCCTGCATCTCATACACGTGTGCCTCAGGCTCTGGTACACACTGGACGTCAGGAACAAATGAGACGTGGGTTCACAGTCTGGCACTCCCACCTGTGTGGCTGGCAACCGTCACACGCGGCCTGGAAGGTCCCATGAAGCTGCTTTGGTCCTGCCATGCCGCGGTCCTGTTCACTTCCAGGGGCCGTGTCCCACGCCATGGGACGGCCCACAGTCGTGAGGAACCAGAGCATGCACAGTGTCTCCTTCGTAGTTTTTATAAAAGCCACACTGCACGCACGCACAGGAAACTATCCTTATTAGAACAGGACTCATCTGCCACATCTTGGTCCCTAATGAGACGTATGGCTAGCATATTCCCTCTCTCTCTTGCTCTAGGAAAATTATATCATTCTTCAGGATCTGTCGTTTTCCTGCAAATATAAGGTGACTGTGCAGCCGATTCGGCCCAAGGGCCGCTTGAAGGCAGAAACCGTTTTCTTCACGACCCCGCCGTGCTCTGCCCTGAAGGGGAAAAGCCACCGGCACATGAGCTGTCCCGGCGAAGCAGGTACGTCTTGAGCTGAACGTGCATTGTGATGCCAGCCACACTTGGAAAACATTTCCAAACTGTATTTCACAACACCCAAAAAAGCAAACGTCCCCCGCTTTCTAGATCTGACGGCCCAGGTTGGGAGGCAGTATATGGCCGTGGGCCACATTCTGTCCTTCTAACAGCACGACGTCTTCCGCTGGCAGTATCGCCCCTTTAGAAACGAAGCCGAGGTTTCTCCAGTGCTTGTACTCAGGCGTGTTCTATAGAAATTATTTCATTTTCACCCCACCCCTGTGCCACGTGACCTACCTTTACATACTTTGCACAACACCCCTCCCCTGACCTTCATCCGTTTGCTCTCCTTACCGGGACCTGTCCTCCTGTCCTGAGGCGGAACGACTACCCCAGGACTTGGCGAAACGCAGCTCTGACACGGGATCACTTCTCACAGCGTCACTACCCACCCCGGTCATGGCGCTCACTTCTCCTCTTGAGGAAGTGGCCAGATCTTGCCACGTGGCGGAGACCTCTCTCCTCCCGTCCCCAGAGCTGGGTCCTAAAAAGAGTCCCCAAACCACCCAGCAGAGTGGCCGCACTGAGACCACCTCCGGCTGACTGTCCCCGTAGGTCATGGAGGTGATGGCCTGAAGCCCTGCATGAGGACCGAGGTCAGACCGCGTGTGGCTCCCCTGGGGAGCGGCTGCCTGAAGTGCCCGCGATATGTGCAAACGGCTCCCATGTCCAGTCCGTGTCCCGCAGCCTAACTCTGCCTCTTATGTCCTCTCCCTCCAGGTCACGTGCCTGCCAAGGTGCTCGCCAAGCCCGAGAACCTTTCTGCCTCGTTTGTCGTCCAAGATGTTAACATCACGGGCCACTTTTCTTGGAAGATGGCCAAGGCCAATCTCTATCAGCCCATGACTGGCTTTCAGGTGACCTGGGCCGAGGTCACGACGGAGAGCAGACAGAACAGCTTGCCCAACAGCATCATCTCACAGTCGCAGATACTGCCTTCCGTAAGTGTCGACTTGCTTCCTGTATGCATGTCGCTCATGTCCGCGGCTGGTCGTCAGCGGCCACTGGAGGTGGGGGTACGCGTGCCATACTGCTGAGGCGTCTTCCCACATTTTCTTCTTCTGGAGCCATTGTTGTGCAAGTATTCATGACCTATGATAGGTGCTGTTGTGAGCAGGGAAACGGTCAGCGGGACATAACCTGTGATTCCTTCCGCAGCCCCGAGCCTGTCCCGTGGGCAAGTGGTTTAACCGTTGTCCCTCGGGTCCAAGTGGACCTGCCCTGTTTGAAGTGTTAAATTGGGGGAAAACAGCTCAAAGAAGCTTGTTGTTTCTCTCCCTTTTCCCCCTTCAAATCTGGCGAGAGCCCATAATGAATTGGCCTGTCTTCCAGGCCACTTAATTCCTTGGCTTGAAAAAAAAAACAAAACAAACCCCATGTGTGGGCTTTTACCCTCTCTAAAAATGCCCTTAGGACATCCAACTCCTGGTCCACTGAGAAAGAAAGGAAAGAAAAAAACAAGTCCGGAAGGAAAAAATTCCTTGGAATTAGAAACGTAGTTATTCTATGAATGTGTTAGGTTTTATTGAATTCTGAAAAGAATGTGTTGGCATGAAAATAAACATGTTCAGTCCTGGGCATTGACAGATACTGTGTTTTGTGGAAAACTCTTGGCTCGTTGACTGAACTTTGGATGATCAAGAATTCACATCACAAGATGTGCAGATGAAAACTTTCAACCATGGGAAAGTCTTATGTTAAGGAACAAACACTGAAATCTCAAGGGTGAGCCCTGAGAACTGGCACTTTGGCACGCATGAACCCTGCCAAGTGCGCTGGGCTGCCAGGGTCGAGCGGGGTGCTGAGAGGCGACTCGGCACAGGGCTCTGGCCGAGTGGGAGCCGCCAGTCTCCCCTGTGAGGCTGCTGCGCTTCCCACCTGTCCTCTGACCGCTCCCACCTGTTCTCTGTGCTCACATGTTCAAGGGCTCATACCTATTCTCCATGCTCACACCTGTTCTCGACCGCTCCCTTTTTCTCTACAATCACACCTATTCTCTGGCCGCTCACACCTGTTCTCCGTGCTCACACCCAGTCTCTGCACTAACACCCATTTGACCACTCACACCTGTTCTCTGACTGGGACCAGCCTGCGGGAGAATGCGTCTGCACTGTGCCTGCTGTTTCCAAAGGGTCACTGATGAGCATTTCGTTTTGTGTGGCTCCCTCAGGATCATGACATCCTAACAGTGCCCAATCTGAGGCCATCTACGCTGTACCGACTGGAAGTGCAGGTGCTGACCGCGGGCGGGGAAGGGCCGGCCACCATCAAAACTTTCCGGACGCCCGACCTCACACTGCCCTCGGTGCACAGTGAGTGTGGGACACAGAAAGTCAGCAGATGTGGGGGAACACTCCGATAAATGACCGAGTTATCACAGATCCCTGTGAAGCGGGGGGGGGGGGGGGGGG